ATCTAATAATAATAATCCTTGCATTTGATATAGCGCTTTTCACATATACTGTTAGATGACGTCTCAAAGCGCTTTACAGAATATACTGTAAAGTGAATTGACACTATATTTGGGGGCGAAAGGCAGCAGCCAATTGCACACAGCAGTGTCCCACAAATAGTCGTGGATTGAAATGACTAANTTTTTTTTGTCTTGAGAGATTATTATCAGGTATGTGGAGTAAGGAAACTTGCCCAAGGTTTCTTTCTGCTGGGAATTGAACCGAGGGCTCGCTCTTGCGAGGCGAGTACTCTAACAATTGAGCTACAGGACTCCTGAGCGTAAAAGATAAGCATCCTATACACACACTCCTATTTCCCTTTGTCAACACAAGCACTGATTATTCTTTTCATCCAGTGAGGATTTGAAAGAACACATAAAATGTATTGTATGTAAGTAGATAAAATATAGAAGAATCTATCAAAGAAAAAATGTGTGGCACAAGAAGGAAATGAAGCTTGTATGAAATGAGAGCCTTTTGATTTGATAGACTCTGATGTAGGGAGAGCGGAAATGTTAGGATAGGGCTGTGGATGCCGTCACAGAGGTGGAGAAAGAGCAAGAGAGACATCAGAGCAAAAGAGCCAAGGGGATCCCCTGAGTTAATGGATAATAATAATTCTTGCATTTGATATAGTAGCGCCTTATAGAGATGTCTCTTTGAGATGGCTCAAAGTGCTTCACAGAAAATACTGTCAAGTGAATTGACTATATTTTGTGGATAAAGTCAAAAGGATAACAACTACAGCAACAACTTGCATTTATATAGTGCCTACCTTGGAGCACTTATAATGATGATAATGTTATTTGATACCACCGCTTTCATGATGGGACCACGTCATAAAACGTTTCACAGGACGTTAAGTAAAGTGTAGTGACAATGTATTTTGTAGGCAACTACAGCTTATATATAACCATTACAGCATTGTGAAATCATTTTATTTGGGCCTAAGTAAACAAAGATCATTAAAAAAAACAGAAAAGAGAATGGATAATTGGATTTGTTTTTGTTCAAAGCACTTTATTCCCATTACTCTGGTCAACACCCTAGTGTGTCATTACTAAGTGTCAACACCCTAGTCAATTTCACCAGTCATTTCCATTGGACAAATGAAGGCAGTGGAATAGCTGTTAGTAAAGTGGATCAGTTCTATATCTGAACTTGCAGATTGGACTCCATAACTGCAGGTTGTCGCAAGAAATTCCTAACATTCCCCCAAACTGGATTCAACTAAAGATCTGAAATTTGTGATCTCACCTCCACTGCTATCTGGTTCTGAATTTGACTGGGGAACTCCAGTTTCAACCTTCCTTTGACCTTGGCTGAAGACTAGTTCTCAGTATTTCCCCTACCCCCAGTGTTCCTTACCAGCCCTTCAATAGTTTAACTGAGGTGCCTATTACAAATATGCGAAGGCTAAATTTAATTTATTTCCTTTTAATTATTAATTATTCGAGTGTAGAAACGTTACAAAATACATCGTGCAAGGTTGTTGCATTCACATTTCACTTCCTTCTAACAAAAAGTCAATAATCATTTGTAAATATGAACTGTTTGTAGTCACTCAGGCAGATTGCTGGGATACAATTTATCTTAATGGAATCACTGTACAATAAAGCTGAACAAAAACACCGACTTTCATCCCATTGAGCTGTTAACCTGATGAATTTTCTGTGCATTCGCTTTGGAGTGTTCCAAACTCAAGAGTATTGCTCCCCAGTTAATAATTGGCTCATTGCGGTACTCAACTTTAAATAGACATATAATACATGTATAACAGTCTGATTTCTGAGGTCACCAGGTGCTAAACGCTTGAGCTGGTTTTGACCGAAAAAACGTGCATTTCTTGAGAATAGAAAGAGAAATGGGGGCAAAACAGGGAGACAATCGCCTGTTGAATTATAGGCAGAACTGTGGAGTGATAAAGAATAAAGTAAATTTATGTCACATTTTTCTGTGACCCGAATGCTGCTGAGTCCAGTCCAGTAATATTTCATCTCAAATCTTGCAAATCACAAACGCTGAAAAGCGCGGTGTCAGATTCAAAGTTAAAAGCGTTAGCAGTTTGCAGCTTCTTTGGAAAATAAACATTTCCTCGTTTTGTTTGAAAGAACAATTAGCTTCTGTGAAAAAGCTGTCTTGTTGTGCAACTTCCCTTTACTTATTAATCCATTAGACCTGTGAGATGGCTCAATGAGATATTGCCAGGGGGGTGGGTGGGTGAGAGGGGAGGAGGCGGTGTTTTGAGTTCATACTCATGAAACATTAATTCCATTATGGAAATTGGATCCTGGGCATCTTCCTGGTGTTAACCCTAGAGTTAACCCCGCACCAGGCTTCGCGACCACATCACTCCCACCCTCGCTCGCCTCCACTGGCACCCCATCCCCCAGAGGATCGAATTCAAGATCCTCATCCTCACCTACAAGGCCATTCACGGACTTGCTCCCTCCTACCTCTCCGACCTACTATCCCGCTACTTACCTGCCCGTACCCTCTGTTCCTCTGGTTCCGGTCTGCTCCACATCCCTCGCCCTAACCGCCCTACCATCAGTGGCCAGGCCTTCAGCCTCTCAGCCCCTAGGCTCTGGAACTCCATCCCCCAGTGCCTTCGCCTTGCTTCCTCCCTTTCTTCCTTCAAGGCCGGTCTCAAGACCTTTCTCTTCGACCGTGCCTTCAGCTCCCTTCAATCCTCTCAACTCTCTACCCCCTCCTCGCTCCCTCCCTTCCCTCCCCTCACCCTGACCATTTCTCCCCTGCTCAGGTCCCAACCCAACTGTCCAGCACCTTGGGACAACCTCCCGATGTGAAAGGCGCTCTATAAATGAAATCTTGTTGTTGTTGTTGTTGTTGTAGAGGTAACATGCTTGGTAAATCCCTCCTTTTTCTCCCTTACGCATCGTGATTAGCAAGGAGTCACTTACAAAAAGCAAACACATGAACTCCTTCCTGCCTTTGCCTACAAAATAAACAGCAAATCTCCCTTAAGTACCTTTGAGACTTTTCAATGTTGGAAGAGCGAATCTTAAATGCAAGGATCGTTATTAATATTAACTAAATAATAATAATCCTTGCATTTGGTACAGTGACTTTCATGTTCGGAGGAGGTCGTAGGCAGCTCAATTGGGCACAAACAGCCATGACACCAGGAAAAACTCTTGAGACCGGTCTTGAAGGAGGCAATGGAGGAAGCGAAATGAAGGGACTGTGGCTGGAGTTCCAGAGTGTGGGGGCAGAGAGGCTGAAAGCCCGGCCACCGACGGTAGGGCGGGTCGGGCGGGAGACATGGAGCAACATGGATACATAACAACAAAGCACTTTGCGAACATATTACTCCAAATAAAGATTATTTCGTATTTTATACATTTAGTATTTTATATATTATTTCATATAAAGATGCCAAATGCAACCTGCTCAAAATGTGTCCTGTGCATAAATCCTGTATGCAAATAAAAGTACATTTCACCATTGCTTGGTTATGGTGAGTTGCTGAACCTGAAGCGTGTTATTCATTGAGCGAGAGCGCAAACAAGGGACCAACTCATATTATCCCTTATAAACCCTCTGGAAAAGCTGGAATGACACCAGGACTTGTCTTCCTAAACCAGTGCAACAAGATGCCTAGCTTTATTGGGCAGGACACTGATAATACTACTAATACTAATAATAAAGTGCTTCACATGATATACTGTCCTGTACTTCAGTGGTTAGAGCGCTCGCTTTGCAAGCGAGAGACCCGAGTTCAATTCCAGGCAGAGGGCGAAACCTTGGGCAAGTTTCCTTACTCCACACAGAGCCTAATAATAATCCCTCCAAAACCCCAAACAATAATAAAATTGGGTCATTTTCAATCTACGACGGATTGTGGAGCATTGCTGTGCGCAATCGGCTGCCGCGTTCGCCCACAAATATGCATTCAATTCACTTTACGGTGTGTTCTGTGAAGCGCTTCGGGACGTCCTCCCGACGTGAAAAGCGCTATATCAAATGCGAGGATTATTATTATTATTATTATCATTATTACTGTCCAGTGGACTGACCGTGTATCATGCGGGTGAACAGAATGACCAGAGTCCTGGTCCATACTGCAGTATAACAGGTTGCAGGTTTACAGACTAACCCAAAGGAACTCTTTGCTGATCGTGGGCTGTGACTGAGTGCCGGAGGGAGTGTTTGTGCCGCATATCCCTGACGCCCAAATAAAGTGCGTGAGATTTCAATCCCTCGAAATTCTGGGTCTGATTGGTAAATAAAACCACTGGGAAGAAAGACACGTGTTACCCGAGGCGGAGATCTGCAACTAAGCCAAAAAAAAATAAAATATATATATATACAGAGATATAGAGGTGGAAAGTTGTAACGCGGAGACTGCAGTTTGGATCGTCCCCGGGATTCGTTATTAGCGGAACCCCCTTTCGGAGAGCGCGGATTTTAGCGCTCGCGTTCCGTTGCGCTGTTTGAGGACAGTCCTGAGGGAAGAGAGTGAGTGAGAGGCTCACATTTTGAGCCACTTCTAAAGAGCAGCGCCTCGTCTGTCACCACTCAGTCTGAGCTCAGCCACTCGGTACCTCTGAGTCGCACAACTCCCAATCCGGAGAGAGAGAGGGGGAGAGGGGAGAGAGAGAGAGGGAGAGGGGGAGGGGGAGAGAGAGAGAGAGAGAGGGAGAGGGGAGAGAGAGAGAGAGAGGAGAGAGAGAGGGAGAGAGAGAGAGAGGAGACGCGGAGAGAGAGAGAGAGAGGAGACGGGGAGAGGGGAGAGAGAGAGAGAGAGGGAGAGAGGGGAGAGAGAGAGAGAGAGGAGAGGGGAGAGAGAGAGAGAGAGGAGAGGGGGAGAGAGAGAGAGAGGGAGAGAGAGGGAGAGGGAGAGAGAGAGGGGGGGAGAGAGAGAGGGGGGAGTGCAGTGCATTTTATTTTTGGGGGTGTGGGGGGGACGGGACGGTGGTGGGGGGGGGGGGGGGGGGGGTTTGTGAAGGGATGAACGACACGGTCTCGTGTGACAACGCCACGACCGTGGAGGAGGGGAAGACGGTGGTGGGCAGTGTGGTCCTGTTCGTGGCCGGAGTGGTCGGCAATGTCATAGCGCTGGGCATCCTGTACAAGCACAAGAGGCAATCCAAGCGCACGTCGGTCTTCTACGTGTTGGTGACCGGTCTGGTGGGCACCGACCTGTCCGGGAAGTGTCTGATCAGCCCCGTGGTCTTCGCTTCTTACGCCAGGAACCTGACCCTGAAGGCGCTCTCGCAGGACCACGACCTGTGCGCGTACTCCTCGATATCCATGTCGTTCTTCGGCTTGTGCTCCACGGCTCTGCTGCTGACCATGGCCCTGGAGTGCTGGTTGTCCATCAGCCACCCTTTCTTCTACCAGGAGCACATCACCAAGCGGCGGGTGGTCATGGTGTTCCCGGTGGTCTACGCCTCGTGCCTCCTGTTCTCTTTGCTGCCGGTGCTGGTGATGGGCAGCTACAAGCAGTACTGCCCAGGCACCTGGTGCTTCATCCACATGACCCCCGAGAAGGAGAGCGCCCGCTTCTACTCGGTGCTGTACGCCACGCTGCTGGGGGTCCTGATCGTGGCCGTGTTGGTCTGCAACTTGTCGGTGGGGGTCAACTTGGCCAAAATGTTCCGGAGGCAAAGGCGGCGCAGCACTACGACCCTCAGCTTCGGCGCCGGACACAAGCACTTGGCCCATTCCGAGGAGCTCGACCACCTGGTTCTGCTGGTGCTCATGACGGTGCTCTTCGTCGTGTGCTCTGCACCGCTCACGGTGAGCTCTTCTTTGCGAGGGCAACGTGACGAGCCGTCGTCGTGGTCCTCACCTTAATGATAATTAATAATAAGGAGTAATAATGATAATAAATCCTCGCATTGGATAGGGCGCTTTTCACGTCGGGGAGAGCGTCCCAACGCGCTTCGCAGAAGACGCTGGAAAAGTGAACTGACTGCATATTTGTGGGCGAACCCGGCAGCCGATTGCGCGCAGCAGTGTCCCACAAACAGTCGTAGATTGAAAATGACCCAATTTATTATTGTTTTTTGGTTTTGGAGGGATTATTATTAGGCTCTGTGTGGAGTAAGGAAACTTGCCCAAGGTTTCGCCCTGATCTGCCTGGAATTGAACTCAGGTCTCTCGCTTGCAAAGCGAGTGCTCTAACCACTGAGCTACAGGACTCCACAACAATAATAATAATCCTTGCATTTGGATAGAGCGCCTTAACAAGTTATAGTTTCGCCCTCAAAATATACACTGCAAATTCACTTTCCAGCGTATTTATTCCGTGAAGCGCTTTGAGACCCATCCGCCACGACGTGATGAGGCGCTGTTATCAAATGCGAGGATTATTATTGTTTTCGATGTTGTTGTTGTTATTATTATTTTTGTGCGAATGTGTTGCGTTGTTGCCGTGCTTGGGATGAGTCGTTAAATCGAGGTCCCATCTGCTGTTCAGGTGGAAGTTGAAGATCCCATTTGCACGACTGTATTCGAAAAGGGAAGGGGGTTTCGCCCAGTGTTCTGGCCAATAAATGGCCCGATTGAAATTAGCCACTTATTCCGTGGCTGTTTGTGGGATATTGCTGTGCACAAATTGACTGCCGCATTCGCTCACAAAGTACACAATCAATCCACTTTGCAAATGTATCCCGTGAAGCGATTCGAGACATCTTGATGACATGATAAAAGACACTATATCGAATGCAAGTATTATTATCATTACCAGTTCGAATACAAGGATTATTGTTGTTATTATTATAAATGGACACCCACTGCTCTTCCTATCTCGCTTAAGTGACGATCCTTCAAGTGCTATCTTATGCATTGGGTGTCATCAGACTACTTGAGGGCGGGGAGCAGCAGAGTTGAGCCCAATCCTGATATGCACACGGGTGCACTCTCCAGCAGGGAAATCTTGACAGAGATAAGAAGCTCAAAATCCCACATGGTCTTAGCTTTAAGAAGTTCTTTAATCTTAGAATTTAAGACGGTGCAAAATATTGGAATATTCTTCAGTTAAATTCTCATTTAGGAATCTGCTTCCTGCAGTCCATAAGAACTGTGGAAAAAAAACAGCTTCCAAATAAGATATTGAATTTTGTTCCAGATGCACAATTTTAAGACATTGGTCATAAAGCTAAGATCATATGAATTCTCAATTATTAGCATCTGTAAACTTGGCCAGCGCATGGGTGATGAAACCAATTGTAGCAGTCCTCCCATGGTTGTTTTCTTGCTCGGAACAGCTAACTCAATTTAGATTGGGGAATGAACTTTAGAACCTTTGTGATCTGTTCAGTTATGCAGTGGTCTGGGCAAAGCCTTTGGTAATTGAGTCATTGGAGAACTTTTAACACATTTATTTTTATTTTTTGCCAAGTAACTATACAATACAATTTACATTTATAGAGTGCCTTTCACATCCAGAGGAAGTCTAAGTTCTTCCTCAAAGTGAATATCATCAATGTTGGGAAATGAGGCAGCAGATAGTTGGTAATGATAACCAAAATATCCGGGTGAGGTACTTTACAACATAGCCAGTTGCAAGCCAATGCTACAGTTACATTGAATGCAGCATTGGAGAATGGTTTGATACAGCAACACTGAGTTGCACATCTGTTTTTTTGTACAAGACTGACGTCAACAGAACAAACTAGGCTTTGCATTCATCATTAAACACACCCACACAATCCCACTAGATTTACAGTGATTAGGAAACAATCCATTTGCACAGAGGGTAGTCAAAATGTGGAATCTCTGACTAAAACCAAGGAGATTTTAAACAATTTAAATTTTGAATTTATCGCTCCCTACCTCAAACCTCCTTCAACCCAGACACTCCTTTCACTCATCAAGTACTGTATATCCTTTGCCCTGTTAGCGCCACATTTGGAACGAGGGCTTTCAACCATTCCTTTACTTCATTCAAGCTCAGTCTCAAGATTTACCTCTTTGCCCACACTTTGTCATCTTTCCCCACTCCAACCTCCTAGTCTCCCACACTCTGCTCAGATGCCCAACTAGTAATGTCAAGCAACAATAACAACAACATGCATTTATATCATGCAGGGTAGGGTCCCTGGGTGCTTGACAATGGCAGAGCACAACACAGTCAATGTCAAGCACTTTGAGACTTCCTCTAGATGTGAAAGGCACTAAATAAATGTAAATTGTATTATACAGTTACTTGGCAAAAAATAAACATTAAACATATGGGGAGCAGGAGAATAGGATCAGATCAAATGGTTCAGATTTGGTGGGTCAAATTATTTATTACTGTAACGGTGGCATATTATTATTCTATGAACCAATGACTTTTTAATGCCGGTAGGAGGTTGGGTGTACTTATAGTTTTTTCTACTATGTTAATTTGAAAGCTCAAAAGGTTACTTTTAGATTCATATGACCATTGTGCTGACAGAGCAATGTAAGAATAAGTTCCACATCCAGATATCAATCTCAAAATGTTTTGATTGCAGTAAAACTGGATGGTTTGCATTGGACACGGTCAAAATATTTTCTGATTCATGCAGATCCTAAAAAATAACTTCTCTATAAAAGCTCCCTTTGTTGTACCTCGTGTTCCTTTAAACCAATCTCAAAAGAGGACAGTGGCAGGTTTATCCTATTAACCATGTCAAGGCAAATTTAGGTCCCAGAAGTAAATTGACAATATAATAATGCACTCCACCACAAAGTTCCCTTAATGGTTTTAACAATTCCAACACTTCTCTGTTGAAAGTTTCTTTGTAGGTTTCTTTGTCTGTGCTCCAGAATGTGAGAACAAGGGTTCTAAGTTCAGCAGTGAGTAACTCTGACTGCTAACACATTTTGTTTTATGCATCAGCTCACAAAATAATAAGCAAAATGATATGGGAACAGCAAGAACGCTGCTTGACAGAGAACATTCAAAAAAAATCTGGTGAATGCTCAAATAGATGGTCATTCTTCGCCCACAAAATATGCAGTCAATTCACTTTACAGTATATTCTGTGAAGCACTTTGAGACGACTTGAAGGCTTGATAAGGCGCTATATCAAATGCAAGGATTATTGTTATATTATGATTGATATTTATTCTGTTAATTTGGAAACTTTGTGTATTCTGTATGATTTTAAGACAAAACGGTTGTACATGCAAATACTAGGTAAATGTTTGGGATTCTGGAATACAGCCCTTCCCAAATTTCCCCTTCAAAAGCCAAGAGCACTGAGATCAATTCTATTATTTCTCATGATATCCAGGTCCATTTGACTCAGTTTCACTCTTATCAGTGTCTTTAGTAACTGAGACACCAGAGCAGCTGTGAAAATCTTCCTTTCCGATAATTATTTTGTGTACTCAGGGATAGATGAATTGATCAAAGGTTGTAAACTTAAGGTAACTAGAAATGTCTTTGTGGAATGATGTCTGGGGAAGGCACTGATTATGGTTGCAGAGTTATATTTACAAGATAAGCTTGGATATGAAGCCAGCCAGCCAGTCATGGACAACATTTGAATACTGAGCAGGGGACCTTTATGAAGACAAGCACGTAGGAGATTGAAGGACAACCACAACAACTTGCATTTATATAGCACCCCTCATGCAGTGCAGCGTCCCAGAGCGCTTGGACACTGACTGTGAACCCAGATGCCCGAGACTGTTAGCAACAGAGAGTGTGGTTTGTCTCTGTTTGGGCTGCTGAGGTTTTGCCACTTTTGCTAATAAGCCCATGTGCTTCGTGAACCAGGTGAGCGACCATATGTATCAGTATCTATCTCGCTCAGGTGGTCGGCAGCTGTAATATCAAAGGGTTCAGGCAGTCGCAAACCATGAGATTGAAGATCAAATGGATTGTTAGTATCTGAAACTTAACCTTACATAAAACATTCCTGTATTATGTTGGGTAACATAAAACATTCCTGTATTATGTTGGGTAACATAAAACGAGTTGCTGCCTTGCAGTGGTTTTTCATGACCTTTTGTTACAAGATATTTCTGTCGCAGTGTTTGTTAGGGCTGGATATCTTAAACCAGAAACTTCTCTATGCAAATTGAATTGATTCCTTTTATCCTTAATCTTCTTAGTGTGACTATTTATTGGAACAGGTTTGAAAATTTGCTAGCATAGGAAGCTTAAAGTCAGCTGATGTCTGGCACAAACTTGGTAAGCAAGAACAAAACAACAACAACAACAACAACAACAAGATTCCATTTATAAAGCGCCTTTCACGTCAGGAGGACGTCCCAAGGCGCTGCACAGTTGGGTCATGACCCGAGCAGGGGGGAAATGGTCAGGGTGAGGGGAGGGAAGGGAGGGAGCGAGGAGGGGGGACATATTTAACATATTAAACATATTTAATTCCACTGAATTCTCAAATAAATTATAAATGGGACCCGATAAGTAGTACCCTTATACCACAAATGTACTTGAACTCTTTTTGGTGGGTTCTCATCCCTTTAGCTCTCAAGCTCAGCTCCAATGCCAAGCCAGAATTGTTAAGCGCTTTGATATGTCTTGCTGACGTGTAAATAAGTGTAAATTGAATTGTACGAGGCTGAAACCTTACAGTACTTCTAAAAGGTTTGTAGTTAGTGTTCCACAAACAATCTATAAACAGCTTCATTATCAGGTTCAAATTAATTAACTCAGCCAAGAAAAGATGACTAAGTGATGCCAAGTTTGAACATGCAGTTTCGGACATCCCACCATTAAGATAATACTGATACATTATAAGAAGCTCATTGTGGAGATAAGAATGATTGTGGCACCTTGAATTTGATGGTATATCGAGAGATTCACAGATTTGAACTCATTGGCATTGCAAAAAGAAACACTAAGATCATTAAACCACTGGTCTAATTCATAGATAATAATTAATTAATAATTAATTAATAATTAATTAATAATTAAGTCATAGATAAAATATCAGAAAGGAAATTCTGTAACCAATCCAATGTGACTGAGGTCAGCATTGCCATTTCATTGTCTGAATGGTCGTTTAGGCATATATCAGATCAGCAAAGGTCTCAAAGCATTTCTGACTAGTATGCTGGCACTTTTGTGGCAACAGCAGCGGATTTCACCTCTAGTATCCTTCCACTCCAGCAGCTTTCATTGCCTAACCAGCTTGTGCACCAATAATCACAATCTTATAACCTGACGTTGACTGAATGACATTTCAGATGCCTCAGGTAAAATTCTTTCTTATTGCTATCATATGTATGCTTGTCTGAACAGGTTCGTTTTTTCTCTGATTTCAAAGTTTCATGTGAACTAAAAAGAATAGGATTTCTATTCACCATTGCAGCAATGAACAGAATAAAATGCAATTCCAGATTAATTTGGCAAACAGCCTATCAATAGGAGCAAGTGCTAAAGTTACACTTTTACAACTAGTGCCAAATGGCCATAAAGGGACCGAGAATTCATACATCAGTGTAACCTCACCGGCCAACCTGGCACAGCTTTCAGTTGTTTTATTCCTTCCTTAAGATACCCGCCTTCTTCTGAGAAACATTTGTAATTAATATGTAATGAATAGAATGCACAGCACAGGAGTCAATTCATGACTGATAAATGTGTTGTTTGCATATGCATTGATCTAGTTTGGCAGCTTATTTTTCAGTCCACAGTACTGCACTGGGTATGAACTAAACTTTCTATACATCTCCATAAATGCATGGATTATTATACACGATTTCATAGTTTACTTCCTCACACAGTGACTTAATGTATTTAAAATTAATGCCAATATGGAAAAACTGCTCAATGCAGAGCACGAAGGCTGTGCTCAAAGGCATTGGCAGATTAGATAATAAACACCACAACAAAACTAAGTTTTACTTCCTCTCCCGCCTCCATCATACCCGCTTTTAAGATGTTGTTCTTTGCTTTGATTCTGCTTTTTCCAGCAGTCATTTATTGATGGTTTCCGGTCTCATCGATTTGCCCTTTTCCTCATTCTCTCTGGGCTGCACTGTGTGTTGCACCCTGACCTTGGGGTCATCAAGCCATTCAGCAGTTAAGTCAACCAAAATGTAAGGAGAGCCAGTTTGCTTTGTGTATTTCACATTCTCAATAATTGCATTGGCAACTTTTTGGGTATTATCATTGCACAATAAATCTGTAACATTATCCTCAAAGAATCATGGAGACATTGAATGCTGAGAACTGCTCAGATTGTTTGGTGGCTGCCATTTCTTACCAGAAAAGGTGGTTGAGACCAGGAAACCTCTTGATGCTGTAATGGGAGGACAGTAGGGTGGGTATTCTGGAAGGATGAGATCACAGGGGCAGAAAGACCTTCTTTAACCCAACCTACCTTGTGATCTTGAAAAAACTATGATGTGATATTTGCTGATTCATCAGAGCAATAAGGGAACCAAACTTCGCCTACAAATGCAGCTGTTACACTTTACAATAACTCCTGTGAAATTGTGGAAGCTCTGAAATACTACATAAATACAGTAAATTATATTACTGTGGAAATGTTCCCCGAACATCTCTACTCGATGAACTGCATAACTACCCGGATGACAGCCAGAAATGGTAAAACGTTGCTCATTAATGTCGGGAATTTGGGGATGGTTTTATGAAGTTACTGCTGGTACGCTGGTCAGAAGATTTGAATCAATCAGTAAAATACAATCATTCTTCCGTGGCGAGCCAAATTCTAGTTTGATATTTGGGGAAAAGTGCCAATAATATCTTTATTGCCTGATTAAAGTCAAAGAGAAATGATAAATGACAAGATGGTGCATGTGACTGGATATGTTCTTGCTCTCCATGCTGCTCAACAAGTTTCGGCCAAGACAAAGAAGTGAAACTTTTAATCCAACTCTGATTCACTTGAAACACATTATCGGAAGTGTGATGCAGTCATGAGTTCAACTTTGCAACGTTGGTACCTTTTTTTAAACTGAAATTTCTAAAGAAATACTGAAAAGCAAAATACTGTATATCTTTTCAGAAAAGTAAAACTCCTTAATTCAGGTGAAGGATTGTTTCACCGGCTCATTCCAGTGTGGTTGGTGTATATAGCACGTTGCGCACTCGAAATGTATCCAAAAATGATTAGCATTTTTCCTCTTTACAGGTTCGTGCTTATATTGGTGCATTTGCTCCTGACAACAAGGACAGTGAAGACCTAGTAGCCCTGAGGCTTGCATCTGTGAATTCAATCGTTAACCCCTGGGTTTTCATCATATTCAGAACATCTGTAGTTCGGAAATTAGTTTCCGTTTGTTGCAATTATTTTTCAAATGCGAACACAGATTCTGTGCCTGAATTGAAGAGCAATATATGATTTGGACGGACTATTTGCACTCCATTCTTTTTCTGCTGCTTTGTTTGCGTCGAATACGCATGTAACTCACTGCATTTTACATTCAAATCAATCCAAAGTGTGTGCTATAAACGTCAGATCAGTGAGCTGCCAACCGAATTCAAAGATTTGATTCATTTCATCTCAGTTGTAGTCTTAAGAATGTAGTATAAGCTCCGACTGAATTATGCCTCTGCAAGGGTCACTTTTAATCTTTTATTTAAAGAAAAATGTTTTAATGGTTCGGCATGTTAGATAAGGTTTGAGCGCATTCCCGAGTTTTTAATAGCTTCGAAACAACCAAACTACATTGCTCAATGGAGCTCTGGGCACGCACTTAGTAGCATCTTGTAGGTGCAAGGCTCTCTTTTGTTTACAGACATCCCAGATATGTAGCAATTATAAATTGGCTGTAAGTATAACTGGATCATTCAATAGTGGTGGAAGGTTCATCGCATGTTTGTAAATGACACCATAAGAGGTTAATGCTTAATTCAACAAATGAATGCTACTTGAAATCTAATAATGTTACACAAACCTTTTAAAAACAATAGTAAATGCCCGAAGCAACAAAAATAATTTGAAAGGTCTTAAAGTTACCAGTGGTATTTTTCTTGTCGCAACAGGAGCAGCAAAACTTTATTATGCACATTTATCCAAATGCATGGCAACCATTACCTGAAAGTTGAAAATCATGCAGTGGCGATTTTAGGTTTGCTACATATTACAATCTTAATTTAATAACACTGCTACCTGTTCGCATGCTCTTTAAAGATTCCATTGCATGTTATCTTTCAAAAAAGACTGCTGGGTTATTCATTTCTTCTCTAATCTGGGTCTCCTACTTGTTCTCCCCAGACATTGTGCTCTGTATTGTGCTCCCAAATATTGTGCTCAGGAAATTGTCCCATTTCAGAAATGAAAAGGACTTTTCCTCTCCCTCACCTGGCTACACTAACACTGAGATGAACTAACACATCTGAGTGGATTGACAGAGGATTGCATTTGATGTCTCAGTACAATAACCGCATGATAGCTACCAAATAAGTAAGCTTGTTAATCTGAAAATTTGCTAACCAGATTAACCTGAACATTCTCAAACTGAAATCTGATTTTATACCACAAACTGATTAATGTGGTGATGAGGAAGAATTTCTGTAAACTGTGACCAGAAACCAGAATGATTTCATTATAAACTAAACATAAAATACTGCGGCTGCTGGAAATCTGAAAACAGAAACAGAAGTCACTGGGAACACTCAGGAGGTCAGGCAACGTCTAAGGAGAAAGGAAAGTGAGCCAACATTTTGGGTCCACGACCCTTTATTATAAAGTGGTTGGAGTTTAGTTGGGGAGGGAGCAGAGTACTAATAAGTATCATTGATGAAGTATCAGAGATTATTTTCCAAGTTTTTTGACTGCAGCAGACATTATATATATTGAAATGTGGATGTTTTGCATAGGTAAATATAAGTTCCACAGTGTACACCAACATGTTTTAGTGTTTAATTCTCAATGGCTGTCACACTTAACATTACAAAACTGGTGTACAGAATCAATGTATGTTTGTGAATTTAAAAAATAAATAAACCTGGTTTGCACTTTAAAGAAATGTGTATGTGTGAATTGAAGTGTACACACTACAGAAGACATGTTGGTGCTTGCTCAACCCAGCACAACTGTTTCAAAAAAATGCATTTGTAATAGTTTTTGAATTGGGGAAGCAGCAGGTTAATGGGAAAGCTGTGCCCCTAGCTTTGATGTCAAGTTGGGGGAATGAAAGGTCACAGTAAATGTGATGGTCTTTTTAAATTAGTTCTTTATGTTCCCCTACAAAACTATGCACAGTTATTACACTTCACAGTACATCCTATGAAGTGCTTTGAGATATCTTTCTGATGTGAAAGGTGCAGTATTAAATGTAAGTTATTAGTAGCAGTAATATTTCCAGTGAATTCCCAAGCCTCCTCTTCATATAAAACCCTTCTTCGTATCAATACAAACTGTATTTCTGGACAAACAAGAAGCTTGTTTTATTTCCTTATACATCCTCATATCTGGTACTTAAAGCCTTTCCATTGTCAGCAATTTTCTACTTCCTAGGAATAGATTTCTAGTGACATACTAAGCAGCCAAGGGACCCGACTGCTTGTAGAGCATCGTGTTCAGGTGGTAGAACAGTCTTTAATACTAAGAGTTAGTATTAAAACAAAGTGGATTTTTTTTAAAACAAGTAGGAAACTTAAGAAAATTATTATTATTATGATTAACAGGCGGGAAAGATTCTTGATGGTTGTACCAGGTTGGTGTCTCAATGTCTGGGATACTACAAGAGGATTTTACGACTTAAAGGTGTCAAAGAAGGGAAAATTAAGTGTCAAGATGGATTTTTCACATTTGGTACCAGGAACCACAAAAAAATCCCAAATTATTGTGATTAAAACATGATAACCTCGGGAGGGTCTCCTGTGTGTGAAAAGATGACTGGATTACCTCTTCTGTGTTTCCAAAGCGGTCTTTGTCTATTGAGGCTCAGTAGGTTTTTAAAAGTATAAGATTTTTATGTTGTGTTAAAGTCCGTTTTAGCTCAGTAATTTTTAAAGTATTGCTTGCGTGTTAGAGTTTTTTATGTTTGCGTGGCTGTGCCACATTCGGGGAAAACCTGTTGTATACTATTACTTGTTTGAATAAATGAGAATAGTTTTAAGATAATTAAAATGGTGTGGGTAGTTCTTGAGCTTGCTCTGACTGGGATCATATCTTCAACAAAAATGAGAAGTGATCGTGACTTTCAGATTACACTCTGCAGCCCGTGTCCTCTCCCGCACCAAACTCCGTGACCCCATCTCCCCCACACTCGCCCAACTCCACTGGCTCCCTATTCTTCAGAGGATCCAGTTCAAGATCCTGGTCCTCACATACAAAGCCCTCCATGGCCTCGCCCCACCCTACCTCTGCGACCTCCTAATCCCCTACCAACCCGCCCGCTCCCTCCGCTCAGCCGGCTCTGGCCTGCTCCACGTCCCCCGACCCACCCATCCCACCATTGGCGGGAGAGCCTTCAGCCACTCTGCCCCCAACCTCTGGAATTCCATCCCCCAGTCACTCCACCTCACCCCCTCAGCCTCCTTCAAGTCCCGCCTCAAGACCCTCCTCTTCGACCATACCATCAGCCACCCCCCCTTCCCCTCCCCTCCCTTCCCTTATCCCCCCCAACCCCAGCTTGGGTCTGAAATGCAGTACTCTGTCCAGTGTTTTAGGATGTCCTCCCGACGTGAAAGGCACTATACAAATGTAATCTTCTTGTTGTTGAAAGGAACATGTAATTCACACAATAAGAAAGAGATTAAAGTAGGCTATTGAAAGGCTATTGAAATGGCTCTTTAATCTCAGAGAAATCCATCAGCCTGACAGCTTAATTGTTCATATTTATAATAGCACCTTTCACGTTGGGGGGTGGTGTCTCAAAGTGTTTCACAAAACTGGCTGCGATGCTTAAACCATATCTGTGCTGGATGCATACATCCGAATATGTTACTTCTGTTTAAATTCTATTCTGGTTTGAGGAATGAGGAACAAAATTTTGTGATATTCCTGATTGTACATTTGATCCACCCAACATTGTTTGTGCAATCCATCATAAAGATGTGCTTTAATGTGAATTTCTACCAATTTAGGAGATCCTTCAAAACTAATCAGCTGGTTACATTTTCATAGAATAACCTAAATTTTACTCATGGAAACAGACTAATTGACCCAACTGGTATTTATATGCCACATAAGTCTCCAATCCTAAACCCCTCTATTCCTTTCTTCCTTATTAGATCATGCCATAGATTAAGAGTTTTCAAACAAAAGTACAGAGAGTTCCATACATGTATAGTACCTCTTGATCTGGAATAACTGGTTCAATGGCATAAAACATGCAAGAAAGTATTTCATTGACTAAAAAGAGAAAGCTGCGGTTTAATGAATAATGAGAGGGATTAGATCAAATATCAAAAATAATTATAAAGCATTTCTCAGTTACAGCATGAATAATAAAAATAATGCTCGGTTTTGATATAGTTCCTTTCATTTTGGGGAGACATCTATAAGTGCTTTGCAAGATTTACTATAAAGTGTAGTAATTGTTTTCTAGGTTAATACGGTAGCCAGCTTTCACACAGAAGTGCCCCACAAACAGCCATGAATGCGACCAATTTTATAGGGGGATTGATTGGCCAGAACACCAGGAGAAATTCCCTTCTCTTTTCAAATAATGTCAAGGTATTTTTAACGTCCACCTGAAGATGAACAGACAGACAGGACCTCGGTTTAATGTCTCATCTGAAGGACAGCATCTTCAACAATGCAACATATTCTCAGCACTGCATTGGATTCTCAGTCTAGACTATGTGTCTTCAAAGTCCCAATGTGGGGCTTGAACCCCAACCTTCTGACTTGGCAACAAGACTGTTACCAACTGAGTCAGGCTGACAACAAATTCAACAAGAGAAATAGAAACACTATAGAAAAGTTGCTAAGATATGAGAGAAAATGAGCAAAACAACATGAAAGGTAGAACAAGACTTTCTATAAACACGTTAGTGGCAATAGAATAATGAAGGGCTGCTAAGAGTTAAAAGAGATAGTCACGTGGAGGTGAATAAGGAAATGGCAGGGATACCGAATAAATACTGGTTTGATTGTCCTATTAAGCTTGTTTCTTCTATAGAAGACACAAAATCTATCCAATGAAGTATTTCAATCCATTTCATGGGGCAAAAGTTAAAAAATAGAGAAAAAAGCAGAATATTTATCAATCACCATTTCTCCACTGCTCAAACAATGGCTCTCTTTCTATTATGAACATTTGCCTTCCCTCACTAGAATTTCAGCAACGTGGAGGGAGATCTTTGTGTCCCAGTATAAATATTGTTCATGAAAACATTTTGGAGGAATATTTATTACCTTGCTAATATTTGGCTGTGTATTTTGACCATATGTTGCTAACATCACAGATAATGTTTTATTTTAAAGCCGTGCTAATTGCAATCAACAACAACAACTTGGATTTATATAGCCAATCACCAAAAGTGAAAAAAAATTCCAGTTTGCAAATCAATAGCTGACATCTGTAACAAATACAACTTTTTTTTAGCAAATTGGCTTATTTTTTATCTAAACACAACCATTCCACGTGACTGTGAATTCAGTGAATTAAAACAGAGGTTCAAACTCATTTTTCACAGGGAAACTGAGCAATGGGAAGACCATTAATAAGCCTTACATTTGGTATAGCGCCTCATCACATCTTTGAGGAGTCTCAATATTCCATTACAGCAGTAGTACAAGTAAAAGCTAAATAAATATCAGCTGAAACTGATAGCATTCCAGCCACACCAGCCCAGCCTTTAATATGGAATCCTGTAGCTCAGTGGTTAGAGCACTTGCTTTACAAGTGAGAGACCTGAGTTCAATTCCAGTCAGGGCAAAACCTTGGGCAAGTTTCCTTTCTCCACACGTCTAATAATAATACCTCCAAAAACTAAAAAAAAAACAATAATAAATTAGTCATTTTCAATCTACGAATGTTTGTGGGACATTGCTGTGCGCAATTGGCTGCCGCATTCGCTCACAAATATACAGTCAATTCAATTTACAGTGTGTTCTGTGAAGCGCTTTGGGACGTCCTCCCGACGTGAAAAGCGCTATACCAAATGCAAGGATTATTATTATTATTATTAATAATATGCGTAATGCTCATTTTATGCTGTACTTTCCATGTCGATCATCATGAAAAAGAATAAACTTGAAATGAGACGTCTGAGAAAGGGAAGGTAAAGTTGTATAGTTCTAAATGGGACTGAGTATTCTGCATGGTACTCTGCACTCCTCTTTCTTTGCTTTGATTCAGAATATTCAATCCAAAGAAAAAAACAAAATTATTATCATTCACAATATGTTCATGAGATGACATGAATCATTTATTTGTGCTTCACTGCATTTGATATCCAGTAGAAAAATAGGAACAAGAGGAGCCTTTTCAACCAGTTTATTAGGTCTTATCAGATTTTAATTAGCTTTTACCACAATCCTTTATATCTCTACTATCCAGTTGAGCACTTTCTTCTCTCAATATCCTGTTTGAAATTACTATATAATGCTCATTTCTGATGCTTCTTGACACTTATTTTGATAGCCTCATTTCCTATTGAGGTAGCTTTTTGAGACAAGATCAATACCCTGACTTGTGGTTCTCAGGACACTTCTTCAACTTCAACTA